GGGCCCGCGGCCATGGCGGGCGTCAAGGTGATCGCCAACGACACCGAGTTCCAGCCCGAGCTGAGCGCCGCCGGCTCCCGCCTGGCCGTGGTTAAGTTCACCATGAGGGGGTGAGTGAGGGGCTGCCTCTCGGGGAAGGGCTCCGGTGTTGCCGTGCTTTTATTCGCGCTTCTCGGGCGCGTAGGGGCGCTCCGGAAGGCGTCACCGCGATGGCAGCACCGGCTGCTTGGATTCTTATCGGTGTTGCCGGTTCCTGGGATAAATTCCCGGTTTTCCCCTGAAGCCGCTGCCCTGCGGAGCCTCCAGCCCTCAGGCGCTCCGAGGGAGCGGCGGCTGCGCTCATTTAAAGCTTAAAGTTGGGAAACAAGGCACGGACAACACTAAAACTTGGGAAAACATCTTTTACCCCCATAAAACTTGGCTGGATCCGCTCCTGGTTTGTCCAGGACGAGCGGCTCATCCCTTTTCCACCTGAAATCGGGCTGAATTTGTCACCTCAGCATCTGAATTCCTGGCGTTAATCTGTGAAATTAGGGAGAATTGGAATATCGAGGGCTCCTCACTATTGTCTGGCTGCTGCCTCTTTAGCTGTGGGGTTTTGATTTCACTCGGCGTTTGTTTCCCAGTGAGAAATTCCCTTTTTACAGGAATTGCTGCAGCTGAGCACTTCTACACTTTGGCTGACACGGAATAAATATAAAATACACATTTTCGGCCAAGGCAGCGCGGTTAAATCCAAATAAACCAACTCCGTCATCCCAGGGCCAAATAAATATGGGGATAACACGTTACAGGTGAAAAATGAGATTTATTGTGAGGAGATTTTTATGATCCATAAAGCTTTGATGCGTGTTGACCATTAAATGATGTGTAAATAGAATTTTTTCCCAGGAGGTAGCATGGATTTATGATACGAATTTTTGGTGATAATATTATTTTATTCTCTTATTGAGCAGGTAAAAATGCTTCAAGTAAAGACAATAAGTTGCAGATTCCTAAATATCATTTATTTATTTCATCTTTAGCTGGCAGCCAGGTAGAAAGGTTATTTTTGGAATTGGGAAGAGCAGCGATGCTCAGGTTTGGAGCAGGCAGTGAAAAATAAAATAATAAAAAATAATATAAAAATAATAAATGATAAAATAAAAATAATAAAAATAAAAATAAAAATAATAAAAATAAAATAAAAATAAGAAAAATAAAACAAAAATAAGAAAAATAAAATAAAAATTATAAAAATAAAATAATAAAAAAAGAAAAATAATCAAGATAAAGCAAAAATAATAAAAAATAAAATAAAGATAATAAAAATAAAAGAAAAATAATAAAAAATAAAAATAATAAAAATTAAAATAAAAAGAAAAAAAGAAAAGGAATAAAAATAAAAGAAAAGGAATAAAAATAAAAGAAAAAGAATAAAAATAAAAGAAAAAGAAAAAAAAATAAAAATAAAATAATGAAAAATAAAGGAAAAATAAAAATAATAAAAATTAAAATAAAAATAATAAAAATAAAATTTAAATAATAAAGAATAAAAATAAAAGAAAAAGAATAAAAATAAAAGAAAAATAATAAAAAATAAAAATAAAATAATAAAAAATAAAAGAAAAATAATAAAAATTAAATTAAAATAAAAATAATAAAAATAAAATTAAAATAATAAAAATAAAATTAAAATAATAAGAAAATAAAATAAAAATAATAAAAAATAAAAATAAAAAATGAAGATTTTTAAGAAGTATTATTTTTTTTTCCTCAGGTGTGGGCCTTGCTTGCGGATCGCTCCGGCCTTCAGCGCCCTGAGCAACAAATACCCACAGGCAACATTCCTGGAGGTGGATGTGCACCAGTGCCAGGTTTGGAAGGGTTTGGGAAAGCAGGGAAGGGGAATCCTCCCAGAGAATATTCCTCCCTTTTTCAGCAAAAGCTCATTAATTCACTCATTACTTCAATGAATTGAACGCGGCGCGAGCGGGATCTAAAAGCCAAGTGTCGGTGGAGTCTGGAATCCAGAGTGCGTGCCCTTGTTTCTGGTATTTAGTTACAAGACCCAGAAAAACACTGAATTTCATGCAATACGAAATTCATGGGCACGTTTGCATGGTGATACATGAAAACAAATGTTGAAGTTGGATACAAAAAGCTAAAAGTGGAAGTGTGTAGATTAGAAAGGTTTTTAAATCACTGGGTGAAAAAGTTTAGAGAACAATAATTGAGGATCCCAAAAGAATCGAGTCCAAAGGAGGCTGAGAGATCCAAGAATAAAAAGCAAAATACCAAAGAGATGCAGCAGAAAGAAAGAAACAGAAAAAAGACTTTTCAGAGAAAAGTTACAAATACTGGTGGAGTTTTTGAAGCGCAAAGGCGACAAGCGGAATAAATGGATTTCTGTTTTATTATTAGAAGCGGAATGGATTTATCAGTGGGGTGATTTGGGAGCTGGAGGTGCTGCAGTTGTAAAATGTTGATTGTTTTCTTCTCCCAGGGCACAGCTGCCACCAACAACATCTCAGCAACACCCACGTTCCTGTTCTTCCGGAACAAGGTGCGCATCGACCAGTACCAGGGAGCGGACGCCGTGGGCTTGGAGGATAAAATCAAACAGCACCTGGAGAACGACCCCGGCAACAGCGAGGACACAGACATCCCCAAAGGATACGTGAGTGGAACCAGAGCGCTGCTGGGGTGGTAGAAACACCACCTTTCAAACCTTCTCTAGGTCAAATAATTGGATTTTGTCGGAGGAAGTGGCTTGTGTGGGCTTTCCATTCCAGAAAAAATGAAATATTGAGATGTATTTTTGTTAAGAATGGAGAAGTTCCCAGTGATGAGAGTTTTGTGCTGAAGCTCCTGAGCCTTCCCAGTTTTCCCAGCTGTCCCCAGCTGGATCTGCTGCCCTTCCATTCCAGAAAAGATGAGAAATTGAGACATTGAGATTGATTTTTGTGATGGATCTGCTGCCCTTCCATTCCAGAAAAGATGGAAAATTGAAATATTGAGATGTATTTTTGTTAAGAATGGAAATGTTCCCAGTGATGAGAGTTTTGTGATGAAGCTCCTGAGCCTTTCCAGCTGTGTGCTCTGTGCCCAGCTGGATCTGCTGCCCTTCCATTCCAGAAAAGATGGAAAATTTAAATATTGAGATGTATTTTTGTGATGGATCTGCTGCCCTTCCATTCCAGAAAAGATGAAAAATTTAAATATTGAGATGTATTTTTGTGATGGATCTGCTGCCCTTCCATTCCAGAAAAGATGAAATATTGAGATATTGAGATTTATTTTTGTTAAGAATGGAAATGTTCCCAGTGATGAGAGTTTTGTGATGAAGCTCCTGAGCCTTTCCATCTGTGTGCTCTGTGCCCAGCTGGATCTGCTGCCCTTCCATTCCAGAAAAGATGAGAAATTGAAACATTGAGGTGTATTTTTATTAAAATTGTTAAAAATGCTGTGTCCCCAGCTGGATCTGCTGCCCTTCCATTCCAGAAAAGATGAAATATTGAAACATTGAGATGTATTTTCATTAAAATTGTTTAAAATTCTCTGTCCCCAGATGGATCTGCTGCCCTTCATCAACAAGGCCGGCTGCGAGTGCCTGAACGAGAGCGACGAGCACGGCTTTGAGAACTGTCTGCGCAAGGACTCCTCCTACCTGGAGTCCGACTGTGACGAGCAGGTGTGTTCCACAGGGCTGGCATCCACAGTTCCAGGGGAACTCAGCCCCTGCTGCTGCCAAACAAAGGCTCAGAAGGTGTGCGATGGGGGAAAGCAGCACATCCCATCATTGCTGAGCTCCCTTCTCCCCGGATCCTGGGCTGAGCTGCTTCCAGAGGAGGAGTTCTGGTGTAATTGTGATTTTTCCTCTCTTTTATCCCAATTTCCTGCTTCCAGAGGAGGAATTCCGGTGTAATTGTGATTTTTCCTCCCTTTTATCCCAATTTCCTGCTTCCAGAGGAGGAGTTCTGGTGTAATTGTGATTTTTCCTCTCTTTTATCCCAATTTCCTGGTTCCGGAGGAGGAGTTCTGGTGTAATTGTGATTTTTCCTCTCTTTTATCCCCATTTCCTGGTTCCAGCTCAGGAATTCCTCTGTAATTGTGGTTTTTCCTTCCTTTTATCCCCATTTCCTGGTTCCAGACACAGATCCCAGGTGTAATTGTGATTTTTCCTCCCTTTTATCCCAGTTTCCTGGTTCCAGCTCAGGAACCCGGGTGTAATTGTGATTTTTCCTTCCTTTTATCCCAGTTTCCTGGTTCCAGACACAGATCCCAGGTGTAATTGTGATTTTTCCTCTCTTTTATCCCCATTTCCTGGTTCCAGAGGAGGAGTTCTGGTGTAATTGTGATTTTTCCTCTCTTTTATCCCAATTTCCTGGTTCCAGAGGAGGAACCCGGGTGTAATTGTGATTTTTCCTCTCTTTTATCCCAATTTCCTGGTTCCAGAGGAGGAACCTGGGTGTAATTGTGATTTTTCCTCTCTTTTATCCCCATTTCCTGGTTCCAGCTCAGGAACCCGGGTGTAATTGTGATTTTTCCTCCCTTTTATCCCCATTTCCTGGTTCCAGAGGAGGAGTTCTGGTGTAATTGTGATTTTTCCTCTCTTTTATCCCCATTTCCTGGTTCCAGCTCAGGAATTCCTCTGTAATTGTGGTTTTTCCTTCCTTTTATCCCCATTTCCTGGTTCCAGAGGAGGAGTTCCGGTGTAATTGTGATTTTTCCTTCCTTTTATCCCCATTTCCTGGTTCCAGCTCAGGAACCCAGGTGTAATTGTGATTTTTCCTGGTTCCAGACACAGATCCCAGGTGTAATTGTGATTTTTCCTTCCTTTTATCCCCATTTCCTGGTTCCAGAGGAGGAGTTCTGGTGTAATTGTGATTTTTCCTCTCTTTTATCCCAATTTCCTGGTTCCAGAGGAGGAACCTGGGTGTAATTGTGATTTTTCCTCTCTTTTATCCCCATTTCCTGGTTCCAGCTCAGGAACCCGGGTGTAATTGTGATTTTTCCTCTCTTTTATCCCCATTTCCTGCTTCCAGAGGAGGAGTTCTGGTGTAATTGTGATTTTTCCTCTCTTTTATCCCCATTTCCTGGTTCCAGAGGAGGAGTTCTGGTGTAATTGTGATTTTTCCTGGTTCCAGACACAGATCCCAGGTGTAATTGTGATTTTTCCTTCCTTTTATCTCAATTTCCTGGTTCCAGCTGAGGAATTTGGGTGTAATTGTGATTTCCCTGGTTCCAGCTCAGGAATTTGGGTGTAATTGTGATTTCCCTGGTTCCAGAGGAGGAATTTGGGTGTAATTGTGATTTCCCTGGTTCCAGAGGAGGAATTTGGGTGTAATTGTGATTTCCCTGGTTCCAAAGGAGGAATTTGGGTGTAATTGTGATTTCCCTGGTTCCAGCTCAGGAATTTGGGTGTAATAACTGTGCTTTTCCCTCTCCAGCTGTTGATCACAGTCGCTTTCAGCCAGCCTGTCAAGCTGTACTCCATGAAACTCCAGGGACCAGACAATGGTGAGTGCTGCTCTCCATTATTTTATTATTAATATTATTATTATCACAGAATTATTCTGTGCTGAACCCCCAAAATCTGGGGTTGACACACAAATTGTACTTAGATACAGAAATAAGGAATTTATTTTACACACAAATAATATTTATTGGTAATTATTATATAATTTATACATCTGTGTGTTTAGCTCAATGCACAAATAAATTATTTATTGTAGATTGATACACAAAGCGATATAGATTGATACACAAATCAAAGTATTTATTATAGATTGATACACAAATAAAAGCATTTATTGTAGATTGATACACAAATATATTGATACACAAATCAAAGTATTTATTATAGATTGATACAGGAACGAAATTTTATTAATTGATGCACAAATAAAAGTGTTAATTAGAGATTGATACAGAAACAAAATATTAATTGATACACTAATTAAAGTATTTATTATAGATTGATACACAAATCAAAGTATTTATTATAGATTGATACAGGAACAAAATATCATTAATTGATACACAAATAAAAATATTAATTGATACACAAATTAAAGTATTTATTATATATTGATACACAAATCAAAGTATTTATTATAGATTGATACAGAAACAAATTATTAATTGATACACAAATCAAAGTATTTATTGTAGATTGATACACAAAGTGAT